TATGCTACGAATCAAAACATGGGGAGGGAATACTTACTGAGAGCTATTTCGCTTCAGATTTCTGGGTTACAATCAGAGATTATATTATCTGAGATAAACAGTCAAAATGAAGCTCCGCCTCCCACCTCCACTCCCAAATTCCTCTACCGTTTGTTTTTGCTTTTTCTTTCTGTAAATGCTAATTAAATAAGCTACGAGTAACAGTGGTCTCCCTTAAGGCCTGTATATACCTAGTGTTGATCACAAACAAGAAGTGGCTCCTCTCTCAAATATAACCAAAGGCTGGCAAAATAAAGAACTCCTTTTCACCTCTTGGCCTTCTCTGGGTTTAAAGCACCCTGTATATGCTGTAGGCACTTTCAGGTAGAAATATTAGTGAAGACAGCTTCTGCCACGGGAAGGCAGACATGTGTGTTGCAGTTAAGAGGGAAGGCATCCCAAAAGAAAACCACCAATTAAAGAGGAGTTTTATCTTGTGAGACAGATTATACAGAAACGTTCCAGTAATTCGGTGCTCATTTCCCTTTCATATCTCCTAGCCTTTAGCAAAGCCCTAAATGTTCCAGCCTGGTCTCAGCCGTGTACTACAGGAGTATTAAGAGAAGACTCACCTCTGGGGCCCAAAATTAAAAAGAAAGAAACACTCCCTGAGGCCAGCAAAGGATTCCCCAGGGAAAGGTGAACCTTTAGGAACAAAAGGCCTTGCTGGGAGCTCCAATTATCCTACCCCATGTGCAGAACCTCCTTCAAAAGCCAACTCTGGAGGAGCCTGGCTCTTATTTACTAAGAGAGAAAGCATTTTTTTTTCTATCAAAACTGCCTAACTGTAAACTCAGGTCTATCTGATTCCAAAATCCATATTGTTACCAGCTGCTACGTCACACTGCCTCCAAAATAATATTAACAGAAAACTGTTCAGCAAAAATATGGGAGAGAATGATTTAGGAGGAGGAGGAGGAAGGGAGGCTGGGAGGGAAGGGAAGGAGGAGGAGAAAGGAAAGAGGGAGAGATTTCTCCAAAGCAATGAAAACAACTCATTGTAGACTGAATGTCAAAGATGGAAATAGTTAATATTAATGTATGCACTTAGCATATATGAAAAGCAGTACCTACTATACAGCTAACATCTAACATGTGTTAATTGCTTTCCTTAAGAACAAAGACAAGAGCCCAGTAGAAAAATGCTGTCTTAAGTTTTGGCTTTTAAAGAAGTTAAAGTGTAATGACATTAGAACAGATACCCAACAACAATGATGACAAAAACTCTATTTTCTTATTGAAAAAGTACTCTGCAAGTGAAAAAAAACCAGAATGGGGCTGACTATAAAGTCATACATCAGTCTTCTGTTTCAAACAAAAAGAGGAACACATTATCTCACTTCTCCAACATGTTTAAACACAGAAACACAAATTCACGAATTCATTAACTGCAAAATCATTTACTTTTTTATTACTCTATGACAACAAGTTATAACATCTTTCGTATCTTCCAAAAGTCAAAAAGATTCAAGGCTCTTCAGATTTCAGTGGCTTGTGCACAGTTCCCCTGCAAAAATACCCTCCCAACGAACATCAGCCAAACCTCTTCCTGTTTTTCAACCTTGTATGTTTACTTTCACATCTGCTGTGAAAGATAAAAGCAACAATGGGGACATCAACCACATGATCGTGTCCTACCAACCCGGAAATGAAGCTCTGAAGCCAGAGCTGCTGTGAAATGGGTCTTTAGAATACTCACACACAGGCTTAAAGGTCTTACAGCATAGGTCTGAATCAAATCCAAAGATAGACAAAACCATATATGTTTCTAAAGAGCTATATTACATTTGAAAGAAAATGGAAGTGTTAATTGCTGTCATGTCCGACTCTTTGCAACCCCATGAACTGTAGCCCACCAGCCTCCTCTATCCATGGGATTCTCCAGGCAAGAATACTGGAGTGGGTTGCCATGCACTCCTCCAGGGGATCTTCCTGACCCAAGGATCAAACCCAGGTCTCCAGCATTGCAGGCAGATTCTTTACCATCTGAGCATCATAGATGCCCAACTGAAGTAGGGAAAACGTATAAGGCAAGATATAAAAATTCTTCTTAACCAAAGATTATTTTCCCCATGTTCACAAGTCAGATTTTATCAGAGGTAAGAGGGAACTAACATTCACTGATTATCTGTAGATGATGGGCACACTGCAACGTTTGTTTCTGTCATTATTATGTATTCTGTGTAATGTATTATCCTTACTTTACAGAAGAGTAAACTGAGGCATGGTAAAGTACTTTCACAAGATCACATCATTAAGAAATCATCTCAGACAGAAAGCCTGCATCTCTCCTAACAAGTCTGTGGTTGTGCTAAGTAAAGGTGCAACAGTAAGGAATCTGGGGGTCTTCCCTGGAGGTCCAGTGGTCTTAACCCCTGCACTCCCACTGCAGGGGGCAAAGGTTTGACCCCTGTTCAGGGAGCTAAGAATTCGACTTTGAGGCCTATTTTCACTTGCTAATTATAAAACTTTGGACAAGTTACTTAACTTTTAACCTGCTACTTAAAATATAAAATGGGATGACTCACACCTACTTCACAGGGCTGTGGTGAGGCTTAAATGTAAAAATAATGGCTAACATTTATCTGGTGCCAGACACTGTCCCACATACCTCGCATATATTAACTCATTTAATCATCATAACAACCTTAAAAGGTATTTTTTATCGTCCACATGTTATACAATGAGTAAACTGAGGTACAGAAGTAACTTGCCCAAGGTCACCACCGGTTTAGAAGTGACACACCAAGAATTTAAAACCAGGCATTCAAGCCCTCAGGCTCAAACCTTCAATTCCTAAGTCATCCCTATAAAGAACACAGTCCAGAGCATGGCTCATAATAAGTCATCGATAAATATTGGCATGATAACTTTACCAAGCACATACAACCCCCCAGTAAATTGTGGCTGAAAGGTGTTAAAGAGCCAGAACTTTAACCCAGGTTATACTCCGTGCTCTTCCCATAACCATGTGTCTTTTGGACCTAATGCCTCTATTCCTAAGCTTTATGTATATACTCAGTCATTTTTTTAAATTAATTAATTAATTTGACTATGCCAGGTCTTAGACGCAGCATGCAGGATTTTTAGTTGAGGCATGAGAACACTTAGTTGTGGCATGTGGGATCTAGTTCTCTGACCAGGGATCGAACCCGGGCCTCCTGCCTTGGGAGCAGAGTCTTAGCTACTGGACCACCAGTGAAGACCTGCCCAGGCATTTCTAATACTGGATCACTAAACTTCCTTAGGAAAGAAGTCATGTCTTCTACATTTTTGTGATCACATACATCAGTCCTGGGTGTTCATTGGAGGGACTGATGTTGAAGCTGAAACTCCAATACTTTGGCCACCTGATGTGAAGAGTTGACTCATTGGAAAAGACCCTGGTGCTGGGAAAGATTGGGGGCAGGAGGAGAAGGGGATGACAGAGGATGAGATGGCTGGATGGCATCACCAACTCGATGGACGTGGGTTTGGGTGGACTCTGGGAGTTGGTGATGGACAGGGAGGCCTGGCGTACTGTGGTTCATGGGGTCACAAGGAGTCAGACACGACTGAGCGACTGAACTGAACTGAACACCCACAAGGTCCCGCTCATTGTAGATAATTGTGTGTGTGTGCCCAATCGCTCAGTCATGTCCGACTCTGTGACCCCATGGACTTTAGCCTGCCAGGCTCCTCTGTCTATGGGATTTTCCACCAAGAATACTGGAATGGGTTGCCACTTCCTTCTCCAGGGGATCTTCTAGACCCAGGGATTGAACCCACATCTCCTGCACTGACAGACAGATTCTTTACCACTGAGCCACCTGGGAAGCCCAGACAACCAATTAGTATATATTAATTAAATGATCATGCCACTCCTCTGCTCAAAACCCTCGCAAAAATTCTCATCTCAGAAAAAAGTGCGAAGTCTGTAGCATAGCCACCAGGGCACCACACCAACTGGCCCTCCCAGTTTCAGCCTCTCTGAACCCAGCTCCTACCATCTGCCCCTAGATGATCTTGATCTTGCCATACTGGCTTACTTAATGCTTCGCAAACACACCAAACATCCTTCACCTTTGCACTGTTGTTCTGCCTGTAAGGCTCTTCTCCAGATACCATTCAGGACTCTGCTCAAAAGTTACCTTACCAGAGAGGTTGTTTCTGACCACTCTACCTAAAATATCCACCCCACTTCCCTCCCTCTTCGCTCCCTTGTCCTGCTTTCTCTGATCCTCACTAAAACCTTACATTTTAGCCCTGATTTGTATACTTTATTATTTGTTCTCTCCCACTAAATGTAAACTCCACAAGAACAGACAATTTCTAATCTACTTTCTTCACTGTTATGTCCCAGTGCACTTAGGATAGGACCTGGTAAGAAGATGATTCATAAATTTTTATTAAATTAATAAATGGTAGATGTATTGGGCTTCCCCAAGGGCTCAATGGGTAAAGAATTCACCTGCAATGCAGGAAACGTAGGAGATACAGGTTCGATTCCTGGGTCAGGAAGATCCCCTGCAGGAGGAAGCGGCAACCCACTCTAGTATTCTTGCCTGGGAAATCCCATGGATAGAGGAGCCTGGCAGGCTGCTTGGCGTTGCAAAGAGTAGGACACGACTGAGCATGCAGATGTATTAGTTGCCTCTTGTTATATAACAGATTACCTCTTAAACTTGGTGATTTAAAACAACAAACATTTATTATCTCTGTTTCTATGGGTCAAGAATTCAAGCACATGGCTTAGCTCGACGCCTTTGATTCAGGGTCTCTGATGAAGTTGCAGTCAAGCTGTCGACCAGGTTTATGCTCCTCTCAAAGCTCAACTCTGCCGGAAGAATCTGCCTCCAAGCTCACTTTCATGGTAGTTACTGACAGACTTGGTTTCTCACCATGTGGGCCTCTCCATAGGCTGCCTGAATGTTCTTAGGATATAGCAGCTGGTGATCCAAGCGACAGGAAGAGAGCCAGAGATGAGACAGCCCGAGGGAGACACCACAGCCTTTTGTAACCTAAACTTGGAAGTGACATCCCACCACTGTACTATATTCTATTCATCAGAAGTAAGTCACCAGGTCCAGGGCACACTCAAAGGGAAGGGATTACGCAAGGCATAAATACCAGGAGGCGGGAATCACTGGGCCATCTTAAAGGCTGCTTACCATAGTATACATAACAAAAATCCAAGAACACCCTGACCCTTGGAAGACCAGCTTTTATCCTCATCAATGGAAAACTGTGCAGTAGAATCTCAAATTAGACCAAATGTGAACTTCAGGAAGGCTGGGAGTTTTGTTCACTGCTGTATCCCCAGGGAACAGAGGCACACTAAATCTTTGTTGCATGAATGAAAACAAAACAAAAAAACACCTTGACCTTTGGAAACCCAATATATTCTTTAAGATATGTATTTAAATATGATGCTATGATCATTACGCAATGATCACCCCAATGCTAGTCTTTTCAATCTTATGAAACACCAAAGGGAGTACATTAACTATTAAACATTTCTAGTTAACCAGTGTACCTTAACATTCATGTTACAGATAATACAACTAGCAAAGAGAAGTCAACAAAAATAGCATCTGGAGGAAAAAAAAAACAACAGTTGGATGACTCTTTCTGAGTAGATGACATACATCTTTTTAAAAATAGATTGGATATTGATTGTTATTATGTAAATATTGTTGATTTTCTTAGGTATGATAATGGTACTGTGATTATGTAGAATAATGTCTTAAGAGACACATAATGAAGTCTTTCAGAAGTAAATTTTCATGATATCTGCAACCTACTTTCCAAGAAAATATGATACACACACACACAAATATAGAAAGGCAATATAGAAAGGAGCAGTCAGATTCATAACCAGGCCTTAAATCTTAACTATCCTGGAATTCAGATTCTCACTATACTTCTCCATGTCTAGGATGTCCCCAGTGTTATGTATCTAACTACCATTCTAAGCAGTATCTGTGTCTGGGGGGAAGAGGAGAGCAATGAAAGACAGGATATTGACGCTCTGCTCTCCAGAAGCTGACAATGTTACTGGGAAGCACTGGTTTCATGTGCAATACAAAGCAACACGTGACAAATTTGGTTTGTAATAAAAAATGCTGCAAGAGTTCAGAAAAGGATATCAATAAACTTTCAAAAATAAAAAAAAATAAACTTTCAGAGAATAAAATATCTTTGAAACCTCTTTCTTCTAACAGTTCTCTTTGGCATCATTTCCTTTAACCACTTCTCCTTTACTTGATCTACTCGGCAACAACTGAGTGATTATTTCCTACTAACAAAACTATTTTGAGATGATCTAAACATAAAGCACATATTTTGCCTGTTTGGAATGCAAGATATGATTTTTAAAAATAAAATACTATTCACATTTTCACTGGAAAAAAGCACTAAATATACTGTGTGAATTTTCTTGCCTTCAAAAGCAATTGTGTTATTTCAAGTGTTGAGGATGCCAGAAAGCTTGAAGATTTAAAAATAACCTCACAAAGAGCTCATTTCCAACACCAGATGGAAAGAAATTACTCTAAAGACACAAGTGTGGGAGGACATATATACAACATCATATGACACCATGCAAAAGGTTTATAAAATTATATAATACCATCAAGATTCGCAGGACTCTGCAGGTAGTAAGTTAGCAACAGTGTCGGTCCTCTGAATCATTAAAACTCATAAAAGGGCAAGAAATTGCAAGTGGGTGGTAGCGAACAAAAACAAAGAGCCTTCACTTTAAGCTGCCTTCCATGTGTCTCCACTACATGATGAAATGGTTGGCAGGTAAAATTTGAGAGCTTAAGTCCTTGGAGCTCTGGACAGTTCTGCCTGTGTCCATATGGTCAAAACAAGCCGGGGATATGAATTGCAAAAATCTGTACCAAGTGTATTATCAAGGTGAAACACTTTTAACTTGAATATATATAGAATTTCAAACTAGTTAACTGAAATACATGCCTGACATATAAATTAAAATAGCATTTCTTTATAAGATGATGTACTGTTAAGATCCCATTGTGTTAAAAGAATTATAATAGTGTTATTAATTTACACAAGTATTAATAGCTGAAACACACTCACAACTGAACTTTGGCATAGCACTCCCTAGTCACAAATTAGCAAAAGTATACATTTTGTTACACTTATGGGTAACAGGCTTAAATGCAACCAATTCAAAATACTGCTATGCTTTATTGTTGTTAAATCACAGAATTTCTCACTCAAAACTTTTATGTTATAACTTTATAATTGTAATGCTATCAAAATATGATATTAAAGTGTCTGAGTGACTGTTAAGGCGGAAAGTAACTAAACCTTAGTCTATATTGTGTCCAATGTCACAATTCAGATGTATAAAGGGCCTACCAAAAAGTTTATTTGGATTTTTATAAGGGATGGAAGACACAAGGAACCGACAGATTGCATTTATGAATCACAATAAACTACAGGAACATATACTATACCCAATCTTTTATCTTATTATTTCCACCTACTTCCAAAAGAAATTGAGGTGTTCCTGTCCCTGTTAATAGATGATATTTTTAGATAACACAGTTAACCCTTGAATAACAGGGGTTTGAACTGTGTGAGCTCACTTAGATTTTTTTCATGTGTAAACACTACAGTACTACATCAGCCAAGGTTGGTTGAATCCTCAGAGGCAGAATCACATACATGGAAGAACCACACATACAGAAGTCCGACTATAAGTTACACATGGATTTCCAACTGTGCAGAACATTAGCACCCCTAACCCCTGCGTTAAGGATCAACTATAATGCAGAATTATGGACATACATTGAATGTAGATAGAACAGAATTAGATAATATTAATAGAGCATCTGTTGCTTCTTCCAATTTTATCATTATATTTCATCATAGTTTCTATTTTATCAGATAATCTTGCCTCTTCCTCCCCACTCTGCCAAGATTACACTAACCCTATCCAAGCTCTACTCCACATAGTTCAGAAACAACGTTAATTTCTATAAGCAGACGTTGCCCTGAGAGCTGAGAAAGAAGACAGTCTAGATTAAATGGGAGGAAATGACCCAAAGAGCCCTCAACCATGGAAGGAAGAGAACGGCAATTCAGTACACAAATCACCATTTAATCCACAGGGATTTAGGCTGGAGATAATCAAGAGATACCTGCAGAATGAGGGCTGGTCTTAATAAATATAATAATAAAACAATAAAGAATGAATCAAACAATAAAATAAACATGATACCAGAATGGCTCTGGAATTTCTCTTTGGAAGGGACTTTTTTAAGGGGGTATATTTACTTAGGGTAACTAGGGGGAAACTGATGAAAATCAGAAGGTAGGGCATATTAAAGTCTCTCCAAGTCACTCCTTGAATTGTACTGGCCACAACCATGGAATGTTGATTTTCTTTAAAGTTCAAAAAGTAGTCAATTTATTTTCAAATACTTCAAGGTGGGTACAATCCCACTTAAATAAAAATAATTAGCAAAAATAAGTGTAAACAGACTTTTATCATAGTCAGATTTTCCCACTATAACTTCCCTAAAACCAACATTTGAAATAGTGTCAGGAAGTTAATTCTAAGACCAGCACTCAAAACATCAAATTTCTCTCTTCCAACACCTCCAATTTCTGAATAGTGTTCATTGCTATACCTCTTTTATCTTTCTCTCTGTGTATTCATTAAATAACAGCGTAGTAAATCAAAAAACAGCATAGTAAATCAAAATACTAATCTAATCCAGTGTGTATTCCAGGTAGATTGTTACAGTGCATTTTACTGTGCACATTATGAACCCACTCATAAAAAGGACACATAGTAAGTCACCAGTGACATACCAACAAACTTAAACAACAAAAATTAACATATCTATTTAGAATCTGGCTCTTCTCTAACTAAAAGCTATTACAAACACAATGAACCAATTACCTTTCAGTAATTTTAGATTCTCTACATAAATAAGATTCGTAACTTATCAATTCAGAGGGCCCTTTTAAAAGTTTTTAAAAATTTAATCTTTGTAGGCTTTATTCAGAGAAAGAAAGCAAGTTGTTCCTAAGAAAAAAAATTGCTAGAATTATTCTTATTTAGCTCACAAATAAAATTAGATGATTCTACGCTTAAGCAGTAGGAGAAAAAAAAAATCCTTTAGAGGTAGCAATGAATCTGTATCTGAATAAGCATGTGACCAATCACGAATTTGATGGGACTCTTGGAAAAATACACTGGCAGCATTTGCTTTGACCTTCTTAGATAATAAGGAAACAGATTGTGATCTAACATATGTACCTCTTGATTTCAGAACCACATTCAGCCCCTGATAGCTACCAAATTCCCAAGTTATAAAATCAGATCACCAATATTAAATTAGATTTGGACATTCAGAAAACAACATAAGCAAGTCCTATCACTTGCCTCACAAATCACAGACTTCGTATTTTAAATCACAGTCTACTGATAAGCATATCAAAGTACCTACAAAGAAAATTCAAGAATCCTGTGACTTGTAGAGAACTCTTCTGACAAGCTTAACTCTGAAGCTGTTTTTAGGAAACCAAACAGCACTGTAAGCACACTATCTCCCATAAAATGAATCTTTAAAATTAAGTCCATAAACTAAGGAATGAAATGGAAGGCTGGCTCTGTAATTTCCAAAAATGTTAAACTGCATACAAAACAACACACTGCTGAATTCTAAATGTGAGGTGTCAACCTGACAAAAGAGAAAAACAGGAAAAACACATAGGTCATATCTCAACAAAATGCCACTTTTTTTTTTTAGAGACAGGAATCATTTAAAATCATTTGTTAATTTAGATATTAGCTTAGAAATGTTTCTAAAAAGAAAAAGAAAGAGGATACAAGTACCTTTAAAATGAAAAGAGGAAGATTTGTGTGCTATTCTGTTAATATATAAATTATCATATCACATTATTTTATATATTATATTGACGATAAGCCTACTTTATAAGTCCCTTGGACTGCAAGGAGATCCAAACAGTCCATTCTAAAGGAAATCAGTCCTGAATATTCATTGGAAGGACTGACGTTGAAGCTGAAACTCCAATACTTTGGCCACCTGATGCAAAGAACTGACTCATCTGAAAAGACTCTGATGCTGCCAAGACTGAAGGCAGGAGGAGAAGGGGACGACAGAGAATGAGATGGTTGGATGCCATCACTGACTCAATGGACATGAGTCTGAGTAAACTCTGGGAGTTGGTGATGGACAGGGAGGCCTGGTGTGCTGTGGCCCATGGGGTCACAAAAAGTCAGACACAACTGAGCCACTGAACTGAACTACTTTATAAAGGCTTCTCAGGTGGCGCTAGTAGTAAAGAACCCACCTGCCAAAGCAGGAGACAATCCCTGGGTCAGGAAAGTCCCCTGGAGAAGAAGGAAATAGCAACCTACTCTAGTATTCTGGAGAAACCCCATAGAAAGGAGCCTGACGGGCTCCATGGGGTCGCAAAGAGTCTGACACAACTGAAGCAACTGAGCACGCACGCAAGCCTACTTTAAAATATAGGCTTGTTTACCATATCTACTACTTCAATACAATAAATATGATTTCCGTGTTTAACAAACATTAAGGAAATGTCAGCTCTTAGACCACCGAGAAACGGAAGAGATGTAGAGAAACCCACCTAAGAGATAGAACTTTCTTCTAATAGTTTAGTCTGTTTGTTGACAGAGTTTTCAAGTGTCCAACTGGTCAATTGGTGGAGTTCTTAGCTCTGAGCAGAATGGAACCCTAAGAGGTTTTCTTAATCTACCATCAACCATCTTCTACCACGAAGGGTTGTACATACTGATGGGGCATTTAGGACCTAATCCTTTTAAAAAACACCACTTCAAATTCAACCAGCTGGGCATATTAATGAAGCTCAAAGAAAACTCAAAACAAAACAAAAAGTTCCATCAAGTTCCTTTCACAAAGGGACATTCCCCCCACACTTCAAATTATTAATATGGAACATTCTTAAAGAGAACTGAAAACAGAAGGAATATACTGATAAATGACAAGCACAGATGGAAGTTCATGGCCAAAGGCACAAATAAGAAAGCATGGGTTATTATTGAGTAGTTAGTTCTTTTTGACTAGAAAATACAAGTAATAAAGAGAATGTAGGAAGGTAGACTGGGGCCACACTATGCACAGACTTACCTAAAAGACATTTGGTTATAAAACACTGGTATAAATGTTGGGAGAATTTTGGTGAGGTCTTGAGGTCTAAAGAGTCAGATCATTTACTGATATTTCTAAGCCTGAATTCAATTATACAAGGGGAAAAAAAGTGTAGTTTTGTTCTAGAAGAAAGAGGAATCAGAAGGTTAGCATGCTACAGGTAAGTTCACTTTTAATAGTAACAAAGATATACCATACTTCAGTTTCCCCAGGGATATAAATAATGCTTATCTTTACCTTAATTATAACCTTCCTGTAGAATGCATTCTGAATTAGCACCTTGATACCAAGGCAATGTGATGCTCAGTGTTTATATTCACTTTTTAATCTGTCACTTATTGAGAGCTTACTGTGTGCCATATATTGTTGTGTACTCCATATGGATTATATTAATAACACCTCAAGAAACTATTTTATATAACCAAAACTGGTCAGCTGGCAAAGAACTTGCCAAGAACTTATTATGTTTCCAACTTACAGAAAAGGAAAATGAAGAGTAGTCAAGTTTCCCTAAAAAGAGTTAAGGCTACATAACAAAACTGAGATGAGAACTATATACAGATGTATATATTTTATTTAAAGGATCAAAAATATTGTCAAGACTGAGAATACAGAAAACAGTAATGATTAACAGCACTGGGTACAGTACACATCCTCCAGAGAGTATAAATTCACTATAATAATATCCAAGATAGAAGACATTACCATTTCTTCCAATCTTCCCTAAAAACAGAACAGAATAGCAGCTGTGAAATCACATAGACTATTTTAAAAAAAAAAAGCTCGGCATCTCTTAAAAAGAAAAAAACTAACTCCTAATCAGCAATACACGCCAAAAAACGACAAGTCTCCACAGACTAGTTATTTACGGCTGGGTACAGTTAGAGAAAAAAACAGGATGAGAGTCCCTATTCATGTAGCCAGAAATCAATCCCTCGGCAATTTGTTTCACGTGAGATCACTTCCACTCTCAAGAGAACGCCGGTTCCTGGGAAGAACAAACCTGTTTTGGCAAACCCCCCACCAGGAATAACAGCCTGGCGATACATCTCGGTGGACGAGCCTAGATCCTACCCGCTCCACAGGTAAAGGCAGCCCAGCGAGCAGGAGGAAATACGTCCAAGCCGACAGATGCACAAACTGAAAAAGGAGGTCACGAAGCTGAGAGCATCGATTTAACCCCTTGGTCTCTGGGACCCGGGAAGACTCAGTGGGAGAGCATAGAGACCTGGGGTTGCGGGGGGCGGGGGGCGGATTTTTTTCCTTTTTTTTAATGATGTGGATGTCTGTGGCGGGAAGGCCTTCAAGTCCTTGCAGGCTCCCTCCACCCCTCACAACTGAGCCTGACTTCAGACCGCCCAGCTACCTCGTCACCGAAAAACCGCTCTGCGGCTGCACCCCACACCTTCGCCACCCGAAACCTGCAACTCGCCCCCCCACCTGCTTTCCTTCCAGGGGTCCTGCCCACTGTACCATGACTGCCTGGCCAGACAGTACCGATCGCCCCCTCGTCAAAAATGCACCCGGAGCCTAACTTTTAAACGCTCCCCCCCAGCGCCACCCCGGCCTTATTTCCCCCTCAGACCGACCGCGTCCCGGCTCCAAGCCCTTCGGCCGCCGGCTTGCAGAGGGCTTTGCTGAGGCCGTGCAGCCCGCGCCCCCGGCCCGGGCCTGCGGAGGGGCTGGAGACAAAGAGGCGGCGGCGCCGCCGCCGCGGCCTCCAGGACCGTCCCCTCGGGGACAGCTCCGCGCGCCCCCCACCCCGCCACCCCAACTCCGCTCGCGCGCCGCCACAGCCTAGCCTCACCGGTGGTTCTGGGGCCCGGGCTTCTCGCGCCCGCCGCCGCAGCCGCCAGACGAACAATGGCAGGAGAAGGCGCCGGCGTCCGAGGCTCGGGCCTCTGCGGCTCGCTGGCCTCACAGGCTGCAGGCGGACTGACTGACTGACTGACTAACCCGCCGGCCGGAGGGAGGGAACGAGCGAACAAGCAAAGGGAGCGAGCGGGCGGCCCCGGCGCGCGCCCTCCCGCCTTCCCTCCGCGAGGCGAGGGCTGGCCCGGCCCGCAGCCAGCCCGCCCCGCGAGCCCCTCCCTCTCTGCTCGCCACAACATTGTAGTAAATTTCTATTGGACGGCACCGGAGGGAAGGAGGGGGCCGGGCCCGCGGCCCGCCAGCCCATTGGCTAAGGCCGAGTTCTCGCTCCTCACGTTTCCCCCCGCCCTCCCCTAGGCCGGTAAAGAGAGGGGAGCGGAAGGGAAAAGAAGGGGAAAAAGCCGCGTGTGCGCAAGCGCAGGTCGAACCCTCTCTCAGGTCCTCAAGTTCCAGGGGGCCCCGCGCTACCCACGTGGGGAACAGAGTAGCAAGTGCCCTGGACGAAGGTGACGCCCTTTCCCCCCTCCTCTCCCTACCCCTCCATAAGGGTCTGAGATTTGGAAGTTGCTCCCAAGCGAACCACGCTCGCTGGCTGTCCCCCAAATGCACCTACTGACCTTAGTTTTTCCGGGCCTCCGTTTCCCCATCTACTAACTTGACATCTCTAGGCGCCATTCCAACCCTGACATTCGATGAGACTTGACCTCTCCTGCTAGCTGTGTAAGACCTGAAATGGATGCTGAGTATTGCGGCCCCGCCAAGATTTTAGCTGTCTTCTGCATTTACGGGTCTCCTAATTCTGCTGTGGCACCGTCAAAATCGTGAGAACTTAGCTTCGGAAATCTGGTCTCCAGCTGAGCTTAGACTAGCTCTCACAATTGCCTGATGTGCCCGTTACTTCCTTTCATTAGCGTCAGAGGCCACTTGAACCTTCCACTCTCCCTGCAGGCTGGCGTCTAAACCAGCGAGCAGAAAGAAGGCTCAGTTTTAAGCATGGTCCCTATAAGGTAAGATAGTTCTGGTGTTCCCATTTTAGAGATGAAGAAACCCAAGCAGAAGGGCTTAGACCTGCCAGGATAAGAAGGCAATCTGACATGGAAGCCTGTATATGCCAGCTAGGCTGTCTCCTTGTATCTAATCCTAAACCCCTCACAACTCAGCTTGGCCTCTAGAAACAGACGTGGGTTGCCATTTCCTTCTCCAGGAGCTCTTCCCAACCCAGGGATTGAACCTGGGTCTCTCTCACTGCAGGCAGACACTTTACCATCTGAGCCACCAGGGAAGCTCAGAAACAGACTGCTGCTGCTGCTAAGTCGCTTCAGTCGTGTCCGCTTCAGTCTCACTCTGTGAGACCCCAGGGACGGCAGCCCACCAGGCTTCCCCGTCCCTGGGATTCTCCAGGCAAGAACACTGGAGTGGGTTGCCATTTCCTTCTCCAATTCGTGAAAGTGAAGTCGCTCAGTTCTGTCTGACTGGTAGACCTCATGGACTACAGCCCACCAGGCTCCCCCGTCCCTGGGATTCTCCAGGCAAGAACACTGGAGTGGGTCGCCATTGCCTTCTCCCAGAAACAGACTACCTGAGTTCAATTCTCAGTCTCCCTGATTGTTTGGCCTACTCTGTGCTTGTTTCCAACCCATAAAAGGGGATAGTAACAAACTCCTACCTACCTCAAAGAGTTACTGTAAAAATTATATGAGTTAAAATATGTAAAGGGCTTAGCTCACAGTAAGATCTACCTAAGTGTTAATTATTCCTGCTATTTGGAGACTAAAATATGGACTGAGAGGTGTGGGGCTCGCTGACGTAACAATAATATATTTGGTAAGCACTAAATTGTCAGCACTGAGCTGAGCACTCTATATGGTTATCTGTTTGAAACAACATGAGACCCTTTAGGATCACCTGACTACCCTATCTAAAACAGCCTCCACTAACACACCCTTGCCACGCTTTAATTTTGCTTCATGGCACTTCTACCTGGCTTTCTACTATATATTTATCTATTTGTCCCTCTCAATAAATTGCTGCGGTTTAGACTCACTAGATCACAAGCTCTGGGAGGGCAGGGACTTTTGTCTTTTTGTTCATCTCCCAGAACAGTGCATACTCAATAAATATTTGCTGAATGAATGAATGAGTTATCCCCATGTTATATAAAAGGAAGCTGAGGCTTAGGTGACTTGGCCAAGGTCATTCTATGTACTAGGGTGAAGCACCTGTGCTTGAATATTCTGGTCCCTTGCCTCAGGTCCTCAGGTTCAGGGAGCTCTAGCTCTACCACCTATGTGCCTCAGAGGTTCCCTTCACCTATCAGACCTGGAAAACTGGTGCCATGAAGGACAAATCCTGAAGATCAATCACAAGACAGCTCACCACTACCATCACCATGTTATCCAGCAAATACAGATTCATGAAAACCAATATTCTCTATACCATGAACGGCTAGGCAAGAATAATAGCTTCTATTTAAAGAGGCTTGGTTGGAGTGGGTAATATTTATTAATCATCACCCTGAAAAAAAAAAAAAGTGGGGGTCTCAGACTAGAAGAAAATAGCCAAACATAAGGCAGATGTAAACCACTCAAATTTAGACTGCCGTGTGACACCACACCAAAAACCGTTGGCATGGGCTTTAGAATCTTTACGAAAATATTTAAAATCTAATCCTGGCTTTTAATTCTTAGACTGGAGATGGAGGGGCTTTGTAAAGTACTATCCACACATGAGGGATTTTTGTTAATTAGTTAGGTACACACCATAACTACTTAGGCTAAGTGCCAGATCCTTGAGCATAACTGGGCCTAACACATAGTAGAGAGTGAGAGGAAATGTCATGCCCAATCAAAGGCAGAGAAACTCCCCTAACTCGTGTCCATCTGCCCTCTCAGAAGAGGCCTCTGCAAACCAGACATCTGGCCCCAGCTCACCCCGAAGAGGCTGCCTTTGAGTACAGGGTAAAAGGTCCCAAGCACCATCTCTGAAGCTAATTTCCCAGGAAGAAACTCGGCTCCCTCCCTCCCTGCCTGTCCTGTGCTCACATCTGGGTGGCGGGGTCTCTAGTGGCCACCTCTACGCCGCCTGCCAGCTGAGCCCACTGCTGCCTCCCCCGCCGCCCCTCCTGTTTCTTCCTAGGGAATACAGGCCCTGCAAGCTGCCTCGCAGCCCCTGAGCGGTCAAGGGCACTACGCGGAAAAAAAAGAAAAAAGACGGCATGAAAGGGTCCTAATCCTTCCCCATTACAAACAGCTCCAGCAAAAAAGCAACACCAGCTGCAGAGAAGAGGGTGAAATTAGGTGGTGAAATTAGGTGGTGACCAGGGAGGAAGGCCAGGGAGGGGAGATGGGGCCTCCGATGACCTGGAAGAGATGCGATTGGAAGAAAGCAGGGGTAGGTGGGGGAACAGTTGGAGACTCAACTATTCCCAAATCTGGGACGTGAGTGGATTAGGGACACAGCTGGCCTGAAGCCCCAGTGACAGGGCTCATGGAAAGCATTTGTTGGTTGTGGGGGTAGCAAGAGATGAAGAGGGCTTTGAAAAGCTGGGCCCACCAGCAAAGTGTTCTGAAAAGTCACTACTGAATAAAAACCAACCCTGGTACCAAAAGTACATGAAGAATAGAGCTTTCCATACGGCCCCTGGTAATAGAAGTTAAGTCATTTTACAGCTTTTAAACACAAATGATAAATCAAACATGCTATAACAGGGCAGAAAAATTGCTACTTTTACAACGGTATGTCTTTCCAGGGGGTTACTTTTAGTAGTACTTGCAGTGTTCACAAAAAAATAGTCAAATAATTTAAAAATTTTAATCGGCATAAAGCCATCAATCAGAAATAACTACCATCAATATTTTGGTGAGAGATTTCCCTTCTAGTACCTCTCCTGTCATATACTTTTTTGTTTATATATATTAAGTCACATGAAATTGCTGATTTTATAAGTCATTAGCAATTGCATATGGTTCGGCCTAATGCTTTTTTAAAATTTAGATTGTATTATTTCAGAACCAACTTTTTTTTCTCCTAACAATATATTATGACACCCACAGTGCCCTCAAGTGGATGGACGGTAATTTAATTAAACTTAAATGTTAATCATTTAGGTTATTTCCCCTTTTTCTTTTTACTTTTCTTTTTTCTCATTTTTTTCTTCTTTCTCTTTTTCTGTTTTCCCATTTTTATCTTTAATACTTGACAAATATCCTTTTTATGTCTAAATTATACCCATGATTATTTTTTAGGATGCATTGACCGCAACATATGTATATATATTTTTTCATTACAGCATACAAGGCTGCCTGTGCTAGCCTTTTTCAAGATAAAAGCAAAAGAAATCAGCAGATGCAATGAAAGACAATATCTTAAATGAATACTCATTCATATTTGAAAACACAGCATGTTTTGACCTCTTTGATAGAATGCACTTTGCTTACAAAAACTGCGTTAAGCTCTGTTTTAGAGTTCTCTGTGCATAGTAAAAGAAAAAAAAAAAAGGTAAATATGATCAAAATACATATATTGGAGTTGGCAAGTTATGTCCTTTCTTCTATGAAGACTCCAAGAAACAAGGGGCATACGGGAAGGAAGTTGAAATTGTAAAAGAGATTCCAGTAGACAGTCACTGAGGTATTCTTTAGGCCTCCAGATTCACAAAATGTCGAACTAGATAGGCCCTCAGAGATCAGCAAGCCCAAGCTACATTTAAACAATTTGGAAAAGGAGCCCAGAAACTGGAAGAGGCTTGCCTGAGGTCACACAGCACAGGGGTGGCAGAGTCCAAAACCTGAACTCAAGTTTTCTGACCCCCACTACAGATTCTGTTCACTTCCTTCTTCTAAGTCCAGCGCATTTCTCTTCTGAAGTTGGAGGCCACAATAAATTGTACAGCCATAAAACCTAGGACTGTCTGAGCCAGAAGGGAAATAA